CCCTGCAGGAACAGGAACCAGGCCTTTGTGCAGCGGGTCTATAAGGGAGGATTCTGCCCAAATGAAAGGAGTCTTGAGTTGACCCAGAGGAGCGAGATGCTCTTTTGTGCCCCACCCCCTTATGGCATTCACAGGCCTTTCATTTTCTGAGCAGTATTGAAAGTCGGGGACAATGGAGGCCAAATCCTGGTGCTGGAGGTTGGGGGCTGGGAGTGGAGAAGAAGGGAAGGCTGGAAGGGGAGGAGGAGGGCTGGGGCTTTCTCTTTTTCTCATGATCAAAACAACAACAATTTTTTTTTTCTTCTTCAGGAAACGGACACATTACTCTGATTTCACTGATTTGTCCCAGCACAGTGATGTGCAATAAACATGAGCGATGCCCCGGAGAGCTCCCACACAAAAGGCTATTAGCTTTTAATTGAAGCCCGCCCCCCATCCTGCCTCCCCCCCCCCCCCCCTGCACAGGAACAGGAACCAGGCCTTTGTGCAGCGGGTCTATAAGGGAGGATTCTGCCCAAATGAAAGGAGTCTTGAGTTGACCCAGAGGAGCGAGATGCTCTTTTGTGCCCCACCCCCTTATGGCATTCACAGGCCTTTCATTTTCTGAGCAGTATTGAAAGTCCAGGACAATGGAGGCCAAATCCTGGTGCTGGAGGTTGGGGGCTGGGAGTGGAGAAGAAGGGAAGGCTGGAAGGGGAGGAGGAGGGCTGGGGGATCCCATCCTTTGTTATTTTTCTTCTTTCCTACCCATTACCTTAGAAAAGGGGGGGGGGGGAAGTTTTAATGAATGATGACATCACTTCCGGTAGCCCACTGCTGGGCTTCAAGACCCAAGAGGCATTGGGAACAGACTATTTACAATTTCATTTTAAATGATTTTAAACTGTCCCAAGGGAGTTCTTTGATATGCAAACATCTCCCCCAAACGGAGATAATTATTGATGGAGAGTAGCCCTTTGAAGAGGAGCTCAGAACTGGTGGGCTGAGTCTTCCCACCCAAGGAAGGAGGTTCCCCATGAGAAGGGACTGTGCTGAGACACGTTTTCCTCCCGCCGCCTCCCGCCTCCGGGGAAGAAAGCTGCTTTCAAGAAGAAGCTTCCCAGGGTCCCAGCTCACAGCTGCAGTGCCGACTCAGGAGCAGGCTCCTGCCGTAGTCTGCATCAGGTGTTCGGGGAAGAGGGTCGGTTTTGTCCCTGTGTCTGGTCTGGGAGGAGAGAGAATAGGCTATAGCGTTTATCTTTCCTGCTGTGATGTATAAGGCCAGGAGGTGGAAAGACACCCAGCAGTGTTTGGGGTGCCGATTGCGGTGGATACTTAGGGCTGGTACTTGGCTTCCACAGAAGATGAGGATAGGCTGGCCCACACTTGTCACCAGAGAAACTCCTGTGAGTGGACCTGAAATGACTGTGTGCCCACTCTTTCTCTTCCCCCAGACTTTTCCTTTGAAAAGCCTCTGGTCTGGAGCCCCAAGTGCCCTCTGACGACTGGAGGAGACGCCCCTTCCCACACCTCTAGGCCTCACCCCTCCAGAGCCTGCCCCTCTAAGTCTCGCCCCTCCAGCGCCTGCCCCTCTAGGACTTGCACCCCTAGGACTTGTCTGGCAGCTTGGAGTTCACATCTTGGAAACATCACCTCCCTCCATGTCGCACGTCACCTTCCCTCTAAGTCACCTTTCCATGCCCAGCTGTCCCCCCTCCTGTTCAAGTGGCCATATAAAGAATGTCCAAATCTGTAGAGAATTTCCATGAGTTTACTTGAGCCAAGCTGACGACAGTTGCCAGGAAGCAAAATCCCAATGGGTTGAGAAAATGCTCCTGAGAATGGCAGTTTTGCAGCTTATTTTATAAATTACAATCAAAGGAGAGGCATGGGGACAGTTACATGAAACTCCCTGGTGGTAGGCTGAGGAGGTGGGAGAAAGCAAAAGGGGAAATCTCTGGGATTGGATAAAGAGTAAAAGGAGAGGCACACACTTCCCTCACATTGGTGGGTACAGCATAGTTAATACAGCTCATAGGGACGGTATGTGGGGAGCAGGATAACAATGAGGGGCTCTGTGGGCTCCTGCTCTGGTGGGAGGTGGTGCCTTGAAGAGTCTGGAAAAGGGGTTACCCTGACATTCCAAAGGTATGCTATCCTAGATGCAAAAAGACAGTAGACAGGCTCAGTTAAGGGAAAGACTGACCTTTGTCAAGGAAGAAACTGGCCTAGGACATAACCATCCACCTGACTTGCTTTTAGTCAGGAAGCTTTCATTTCAGACCTCCTGTGTGGTTCCTTTAGGTCTCTAGTTTGTAAGGCAACCATGCAGGCCTCCCCTGAACTTCTCAGGTTTAGTATGTGGCCTGTTTTTCGTCCACACGAGTCAGCCAGCTGAATGAGTTTCCTGACCTCCCTGTGCTGGGGAGACTGAGGCACTCAGCTAATGGTGAGCCCAAAACAAAGCCCTGGCTTCTCTCTGGTCCCAGTCCCTCACTTCCTCCCCGGGGACTCCCAGGGTGCCTCCTGAGGCCTCTGGGCCCTGGAAGGGAGGGGTTTGGGCCCCAATTCTGCCAGGTAGTCAGAAATCTCCCTAACCCAAGGGCATCCTTTCATCAAATAACACTTTTAGAAATTTTCAAGACAGAAAGTTTGATTTTTTGTTCTTTGTCCTGCATATCTTAGGTTAAGACATGCTACCTTATACAAATCTCATTTTTACCTGGGAGCGAAGGTTTTCTTTCTTCCCAGTGGTTGGGGGAAGGGGCCAGTGTGTTAGGCAGAGCAGGCCATCTGAGCCCAGGCTGTGGAGGAAGCTGAGTCTGGGGAGAGGATGGGATGAGAGTGTGCACTGCTGGTGGTTGTGGGGCTAAGGGCGTGAGGGCATGAGGCCTGTTCTTCCCCCAGAGAATACCAGGGTTCATAGAAGAGATTGTGTTTTTAGAGTAGTTTTAGATTCACAGCAAAGTCAAGCAGAAAGTACAGAGGTTTCCCACATGCCCTCTGCCCTCCACAAGCACAGCCTCCCCCACATCCTCCTCCCCAAGTGGTACGTTCACTATAATGATGCACTGCAGTCCACTGTGGGTACATCATGCCACTCACAGTCCACGGTGCACGTCAGGCTCACTCCTGCTGCTGTGCACTCCGTGGACTTAGACCAATGTGTGAGGGCGTGTCCACCATTGTAGCACCCTGCAGACTGTTCCCTGCCCTCAGTCCTCTGTGCTCTGCCTGCTTTGCCCCTCTCTCCTAGTCCCTGGGGATTCCAGTGCTTTTGAGTTTTGCTGCTGATATTTAAGAGGCTTACAGGATCCTCAAAACAATGGCACTTTCTTTATTTTGTCCTTTTTAGGGGGTGTGTTTATTTCCTAGCCCACTTGGGACTGTGGATGTGAGGTGGCTTGGTGGCTTGGTTGGTTTGTTAGTTTTTGCGGGGGAGAGGGATTTAACCCCTGGGCTCCCCATTCTGCTGTCTGTGGAGACTTTCCTTGTTGCACTTTGGTTTTGGGAAATCTTGGCGGCTGGACTAGGGCTCTGTGCAGAAGCTAAAGTGGAGCCGAGGGCCCGTCGCCAGGGCAGCTCCTCAGAATGGGCCCGCCCTGCGCAGTTCCAGGCCTGGCCTCTGAGGCCTGGAGAGGCCGCGGGGCCAGGGACACGCCCAGGAGAAGCAGAACTCCAAGTCCTTCTGTTTCACCAGCAGTAAATAACTTTATGTCAACACTTCTAAGTCTCTATTGATTATTTTTCTCATTTCAATCAATATTTTTCTCAAAACTTTATGGAAAGGAGGCCTCGGCCGCCCTGGCTATGGGTGAGGCGCCTGTCCTGAGCACCAGCTGCTCGGCCTTTGCCCAGAGAGCACATGGCGGAGGCTGCGGACAGTGGACCTGCCTCCCGATGGCGGTGGTGCTGCTACACAGCCCTGTGCGTTCGTCAAAATTCACAGAATTGGATTCCAAAAATGATTATTTACTATATGGTAGTATAGGAGCTTAAAATGTTGATTTTAAAACAGAAAAATACATCTTTGTAACCCAGAACATATGGGGTTTTTCTGCAACCAAGCAAAGAAGTCATCTCCCAAAGCGGAGGGGAA